GGTTCAGCAGAGAGCATCTGGGGCTGCTCGACGAGCGACTCCCGCTTGGCCTCTCGGCGCTCCTCTTGAGATGGTCGACCTATACCTTCAACGCCTTCGAGTCCGGGTCCGACATCCATCCGCAGAACTGGATCGACATGGTGTGTGGCGACCCCATTTACGCCTGCCAGTGCCTCGCTGACCGCTCCCTCGTTGTGGCCAGCTTAAGAGGCGCCCTGCACTGGGCTACTTGCACATTCTGTATCTCGAACATGATCTGTCCCTCGGCAGGTCGCTGGACCTGCGCGCGCGGCTGCTCAAGGACCGCCCGCGGGCGCTGAGGCTCGTTGGGTATGGCCCGCAGATATGCAGCATCGAGCGCGATCCTGCGACTGGGGAGTCGGCGTACGGACCGCCCTGGTCGGATGCAGCGGTCACTGTGGGGGCGGCGGAAGACTTTGGATGCGAAGACTGGGTGTGGCTGATCAGGCACCACGCACTTTTCCTGCGGATGAGGTGATACTGCGCGTGCGTGCGGCGCGAGCCGTCCTGCATTTGAGACTGGACAAGACTTGCGGATCGACGGTGTCAGAACTAGACATATCGTGGGTATACTGCATCTACGTTGGTGCGAGTTGGTCCACTTACGGCCGGCAGCGTCAACTCTGATACTAGTCCGATTGCTCTTACCACTTATCACTGTTCACGTTCAAGAGCGATCCATTTGGGACAACATGAGTACTAGTATACAAAATCGAAGTTGCAGCAGTCTGAGCCAGAACGTCCGGCCGCAGGGGGCGGGCTCGGTGGTATGACGATGATTTGTGGGGGCGGGGGCGGCGGGATGGGGGTCAACGTGCTGTAGTTCCAATTACAGTGACGTTTCAGAGGTGATGGTTGGTGTATGCGCCCGCCGCGAGCGGATGCGGGGGACTCCTCGGTTTCGTTGGTCGCTGATATCTATGGCAACGATGAGATGGATTACAAGTTCTCGATTCGAGGCGTATTCGCACCTTGCGCTTTGATGGGATGGTACGGGGACGCCTGTAAGGACGGGCATCAGCCGGTACTCGCGCGCGAGAGAGAAGCACCTACGGTTCGCCTTTCCACATAGTGAACGTTTGCGCGAGGCTGAAGGCGCGCAGCGCCCCGAGTCTGTGGCAGTGAGATGTAACGGCAGCAGATGAGTGCCGAGGGGGAACGTGGCGGGAGCAGTAGTACGGGCCGAATGACTGCGTACGCACAGAAGAATTGGGGGTTCCCTGGTCGATGTGGTCAGCATAGGCTCGAGACGGAGCAGCGGATGCGGAGAGTAGAGAGCGGAGAACTTTTTTGGGGGCAAAGGAAATACTCAAAGCTCACGTACTCTTCGGAGAAGACGCGTCTTGCAATTCTTGCGATCCTGGCAGTATAAGTACTCTGGGCAGAGGGCGCTATCCTGTTCTGCTGCGAGGGTGCTTGGGGCTTACAAACGAGCTCCGGGAAGGTCATAGATATCGATGACGACTTTGGACCACTGGGAGAGGGTATAATAGCGTCTATTTCATTGCGGGAGGCTCGGTGACGGTCGATATATCCTCAGGGATAATGATGCGCAGCCGCGTCGGGATATCTGGGGGTGCGGTATCTGGGTGTTGCTGGATATGCGTAATTTGTGCTCGTCGCGTACATTGAATTGTAAGGTGAGTGCGAGGGAGGACGACTAGGCCGGAGGAATCATGGCCGTCGACGTCCGAGTCACTTCATAAGCGGTCTTTCGGTGGTGTGGCGGGTAGCGATTTTGAGCATGTTCGGGTTGGTGTTTAATCGCCAAGCCTGCATTAAGCCAGTCACAAATAGGCTTCAAAGCTGTATTCACGTCTTGGCAGCTGTATGAAAAGCAGCAAGGGTCAAGTGAACATCGTTGCTTGTCGGCTTTCGATCGCTGTTCACGCGACGTGGATGGCGGCGAACTAGTAGGTATCAAGACTATTTAGTATTTTGATTGTAGCGTTGCTACATTCCGCAATCAGACATCCAGGTTCTCGCAGTCGTTGATGGTTTGGCCAGCGTGCGCGTAGGAACAAGTCGATTTTGACATGGGAGGAGGAAAAGCACAGCGCGCTACACGGGCGCTTGTCTCTCCTCAGCGTTGGACTCGTGCATACAGCCGCGCCCACGTCTTTCTGAGTTCGCTTGCTGTCGAGGTCGCCTCCGAGTCGTCATTCTTGTCGATGACGTCACGCGTCGCGCGCGCGAGACCTGCGATTGGCCCGCCACAGACGCCGGCGTCTCTCTCTTGCCACTCACGATGTCGACGCGATCCGCCGTGCTCTCCGTCTTCCACCGCTCTCGACGCCCTCGCTGCTGCGTGAAACGAACCCCGTAGCGATTCGATACAGCTCGACTGCTACGTGTATGTACTGCTCTCGACTCGCTCGCGCGCGATGTCGTCCATGCTCCTCCCGAACACCGCTGGTGAGTCCAGATCGACAGTACACAGAAATTGTCGCTTACCACGCATTTCTAGCGCAGATACTGCGCAAACGGTCGACTCCCTGGCCGTTTCACGCCGCGCAGAGCATGCGTACGCTGCAAGATGTTTTGTTTTTCGTCATAAGCAGCTTCGTCTCAGCGCGCGCCTACTTACCGGACTAACCCAGCATACTCCCACACAACAAAGCTATCAAATACGGTCAGTTGGGCTCCTTTCGCGGCGGAAATAGAGTACTTTCTGTACTCTACTCGCCGTTCAGTTCATGCGTGCATTCCAACGCATCCCGCGCATCTCTCGACTTTGAAGAGGTCGTTGTGTCGCATCGACACGTTTCGCGCGATCCGTAGCTCGCGTCATCCGGCGTTTCCCTCGTTTTCCTCGTACTCGCGGAATCTGTGTGCCTGTCGAACGCGTACAACGGTGAGCAGAAGCTAAATCAAGGAGAGCAACGGCTTACCTGACGACTTCCGCATGCAGTGGATCTATCGGGCATAGTCAGCGACACTCGGGCGGTCGAGCACTCACAGTGTTCGGTTCTCATCCGCGTCTCCCCGCGCATGTGAGTCGTGCAGAAGCGGGATAAGCGGCGGCCAAATGGCATGCAGACAAAATTGGCATATCCTGGGCGACGACGGGCACGCCGCAGGAGGGGGTGAGTATGCGAGAGGTGAGTGTGCGAGTGCAAGAGACGAGGGGAAGCGTCAGGGGAGGTGCTGAACGAGACGAGCCCATGCTGCGTGCTTATAACTGTTTTTCAGGGTGCAAACAATCGTGCACGGACCAGATCAAACCCCAGCGCGAGCCCGGACCCTCGCCAGGTGCGTACGCCGTATGCGAGACACGATAGACGGAGCAGGTGCGCCGCTATCCGTGAACCCTCAAACACGTCCGAGTGACCGCGCCTCCGCTTCGCGCGAGCGGGAGATCACGATCCGACACGGATCCTGCGCCGCGCCCGCCATCTTCGCCGTCCTCGACTCGCCGTCTGCCCGCTCTCGTGTCTCGTAAGACATATCCGTCCGCGGCACGATGGCGGGCACCGTGCCGCACCACTTGCTGACAGGGACTCCGCAACGGTGGCCGGATTCGCGGGCGTGGAGAGCAGGGGACGAGGACGAGGCCCGGGAAGATCTCAAGCCGCCGTTACGGGAGATTCGGACGAGCCGAATGAGCGTGGCGAGGCGAAACAAACGGAGCGAGGGTGGATGCGACGGGCGCCGAGTACGAGTGCACCAGCGTCCAATATCGCTTCGCCTTCGCTCCGCGATATGCCAAATCTGGGGCGGGCTCGATGCACGCGCGCGGACCCACTGTGTCTCCGGCAGTCACTGTGGGTCCGGTGTCACAGCTGCGGTCGGCAAAGACGCGGAGAGACCCTGAACACGATACGGCCGCGGCGTACTCTTCTGGGAGCAGTCTGGGAGCGTACGTGCGTCGGCGACGTCGTGTGTGTGCTGCGGTATCTGGCGGAAGCAGGAAGACAGCGACACTCCTGAGCGAGGGCTGAGCTAACGGGCAGAACCCTATCAGGGCTGGATGCCTAGCGCATGCGCACGGTCGTGCCCCCGTCTCGACGTCTCCACCGATCGTCAGGGTGTCGGTACGTACAGGGTCCTTTCGCGTCCCTGAGCATCTGGGCACGATGCGCACGCGGAGATGGCGCTACGAGTGCGCCGCGCGCGCCATGTACGGGAGCTTCTGGGCGCGCAGATGCAGAGTACACATGCGGGGATGGCGGCGCGAGTGCGCCGTGTATGGGAGCTTCTACAAGGGGCATGGCGGCGCCAGGACGCAGCTGAGGGCGTGCACTTGCACGCCTTCGTCCGTGGCCAAATAGATGCGTGTGGACAAGCGTGGAATGGTAGTAAAGCAGGACGACGCCCGCCTGCGCGTCGCAGGGCATTGCTGCGATACCAACGCATTGCCTTCAAACACGACGGTTTCCTGGGCATCGGGAGCAATGCCTACGACTGCGGTGCACCCTTCCGCCATGGAGCAGTCTGGGTGTGCATGGCCGTCGGCGATGCACGGGTGCCGTTTCGAATGCAGCATTGCACAACGGCAGCAAGTCGGCGGCTGCGCTACCGCTTCTAACCCAGGGTCTGAGCTCATGAGCCGAGCACCGTCGGGGCGGGACGTCTGGTGCATGCGCGCCGTCGTGCCGTGCATCACGCCGTCTCGACGTCGAGTCCACCGATCGCCAGGGTCTCGGTACGTACAGC